TAGCCAGAGAGCGGAAGAATATATCCAAGGATATAGTTTTTCGTGTAGACGTTGAGAAGGTTCAAAACTCTCTAAGTGAATTTACGGGACATAATATTGACACTGATGAAGCGCGGTAATGAGAGAGGTAACGAGATAGATGTCCAAGGATCTTCTTCGGGGCAGGATGCTTGCCAGGAAACAGGGTCTCCTCCGGCGTAGAACGTTCGTCAGGAAATAAAAGGCTTTTTTAAACAAATCAGGAGAAGTCGTCGGCGAAGAATCGTCGAAAAATGTATACCAGGCGTCTGTGTGCTTCCTTATAAGCACGCGTGCGAAGAAATTCATTGCGGATATACTGAGAAAGAAATGTTCGATCATGTCTGATAATTCAGTTAGAAAGTAACAAATGAATATATCCGATCGATTGCAATGGCAATAAAAATTACAATAAACATAACAATCAGATACATCATTTAATCGGTTTGTCCGATGGGAATTCTTCTCAGTGTACGCTTCGTTTTCAAATAATTGTCTAATAGCGTCGATGACTACTGAAAGGTCATGCTGTGATTTTAGTATTATATTCATGCCGACTTCGGCAGAGCGGGAACCCAAACAATTTTCGGAACGTTTTCCAAAAATAATCATTGAGGATTGAAGTTCAATGAAGCTAACTCGGCCAACTTCTCCAGACTCCTTCATCGCGCGTGATAATCTCGAGAGATGATACGCGCGGCGAACGACGAAATAGAATCCCAAAATTATCGATTCCTTCCTTCAATATTCGTAATTTAAAATAAGTATTGATCCTTGATATGTGACGTCACGTTGAAATTAACGGAGTTCAGTGTTAAGAGGTTGAAAATCTTCGAATAAATTATTATGTTCAAGTGAAAAGAGATACCGATATCAAAAAAGTTGCGCCAGTTAATAATTGAAGCGGCGATTAATCCTCGAGTCACCGCGTGAAGACGTGTATCCTGTGGAAATAATCGTATAAAAAATTTGCGGCAATCAAAAATGGATAAAGTGAGGTTGAGAATGTTACATTGAATTGAACATGAAAATCCTGATGTCAGCAAGTTGCACCAACTATGATAATCAAAGCGGCGACTAATCGTCGAATGATCGCGTGAAAAGTCGTATAACGATACGTAGATACTTGGTTGATACTCGATTGATTAAATACGTTCAATACGGCGCGTCGCTACGTGTCAAAAATGAAACGTAACTGTGAGATCTCCGTAGGATAGCGGGAATACTCCGGAAATAACGAATTACGTTCTACTTTGTGTAACGATCCATCGGATTATAATCTAAGAATGGCTGAAAATCGTCGAAACGGTAACTCGTAGGACACGTTAGCCGATCGTATAACATTCTATCTTTGTACACCCTAGTTAGAAAATATTCTTCCATGCTATACGACGTGATCTACGGCAAACGAATACACGTTAAAGTGCATACTGAATTGTACAAACCTTCCGTAGGGACGGAGGGTCTCTACTATAATCTCCTGGATTGTAATCTGAGTTACGACAGATAATGCTAAGGAATGTATCAGCTTTCTAACATCTTTCCGAGTCGTTCGCATTTGAAGTCCAGTAACGTTGCTTGTAAAATGTCTCAATATTCTTTCCTTAGCGCTGCCTATCGCAGTCTGGATTATAATCTAAGAGAAGGACACGGAGCTGCCAATTACAATTATATTATATATTCTAATAAAGATTGTCGATACAATCGACTGTCGCTTGTCGCCCAAACTTCCCGTAAATTGGCACAAGGCTTGGATCAGAGGTGGGCAACCTCATTTGAATTGTGCTACTCTTTGGAAGCTGTCTTACGAATCACGCTACTCTTCGGTGAAGAATATAATAAATTTAACATCGATTCGATCGGTTAGCCTGAGCCTCTTAATTCGAAATCTCCTATTTTAGGAGAAATTCCGTGTGCTTTCTCCCCTCGAAAAGCATATCGCCGAGAATGCAGTTAATTGTCGTGTACCTCGTGTACTGAATTTAGACGTGAGAAATCGCTAATATATATTATTATTTCAAATATGTACTTCACGAGACATCTTTCGTCGTTTTAACAAGAAAGGCCGCGCGTTGCCCACCCTTGGATCTTTCGCGACGATAAAACAACAAAGCCGTAAAGGGAATTGGCTTTCAAATCACGGAGAGGAGAGCGGCATTGCGCCGTCGGAATGAAATCGCGAGGTAGCTGTATACATGTACGAGATGGTCCAAAACGACCGTTCATCGCTATCTTTTTGAGAACGATTGAAAGTAGGGCCACGGAGCGAAAATCCCATGCACCGAATCGGCACGACGGAAACCGACTAAAATATTTTTTGACCATTCAAATTCTTCTTGGGCACCGTGAAACGACTAATGTCAGTTTCTCGTTCGAATTCAAATGAAAAAATTACTCTCTGAATTCAAATTTAGAAAGTGCTTACAGAAATTAATTTATGTTTCTTGCAATGTTTTTGTTTTTCTTGAGAATCCTGAACACTCGAAATTTACGGTACAAACCTGGAGTTTTCCAATATCTAACTTTGCTCCCGCCGCACTAATAGAATAAAATTCCGTTGGAGGATTCCGAAGCTTCGAAGATACAAACATTGTCGGATATGAAAATCTCGCGCTCCAGAAGAGGTTCGAAAAGGATTCGAGTTTCTCGGCGACGCGCCATATATTGACTTCTACCACTTGTTCGCTCCACGGTCGTATCTTCAATCGTTTAAAAAAAAAAAAAACTACAACGGACGGCCGTTCCGTGCCGTATCCGTTCGATTTCTCGGAGAAAATAGAAGATCAGTTGTCGATCTACACCGAGAGTATCACACGCAATAACGACGAATATTTCGAAATTTTATAGCCGCTTGAGCGAACAGGAATACTCGGAAATACTAAGGGGGCGTCGGTAATTATTACGATATTGATTGCGACAGTGATATGCTCCGTCTAATTTGTAAAATCACCTGCGAACGCGTTCGCAAACTCTCTATCATCCTTCACCTCCTTCCTCCTCCTCCCCATCTCTCCCTTTCTTCCTTCTCGCGCTAACGCATCTCTTTGAACTTTCGATGGAGAATACTTGTTTCCTCGCACATTAGACACTTCGTAGTATATATCAAAAGAATCTACAAGTGAACACAAGATCCCGGAATAACTCTCTCGACCTCGCAACGAACGCTCAACGTTGCTCGTGTGTTTAATCTCGCGTCAATTAAAACACCGGACTCGAGTGGATCCCGACGCGCATGTTCGATCTGTCCCTGCGTTGATTTAGCGATAAAATATGTCCGAGTGTGAAAATCTCGCGCTCCGGAACAGATGTCTGAATTCAATTTCGGAGGGTAGATCGGGTCGAATTTGCTTTCGGGGTAGAACCGTCCTCGTGGCGAACGATCGTGCGCGGATCAATCATGCGAGTCGAGAAGCGCTCACCTCCGGTTTCTCTGTACTCTATGTCTACGAGTAACAGTATCACATATACCGAAAGACGCCGGAATAGCGCGCAAATCATAAGCGATACTTTCCGAAGGCGTGAGGCGCACACATGGTCTGCGGATCACCCGGTGATTATAGTCGAATCGACTTTTAACGGCAACCATAATTCGGCAAGAGCAACGGGTTCGATATTTACAATTAATTGGTCGCAACGTCGTCATCGTCGAGCGGCGCAGATGCGAAAACGACGGCGCGGAGATTCGCGTAAAGAGGACGCAAGTGTCGAGACGTCTTGCCCTCCTCCCTCCCCCTTCTCCCCTTTCCTTAATCTTTCGCGAACGAAGAAGATACCCGCATGAATAAGAAAGCACCGTGTCGACGGTGAAGTTTACCACCGGGTGTTTTCGTCGGGTGCTTTCCTCGCGGCGATCCGCGCAGTCGATCTTTAACCCTCTAACGGTAAAGCGGGGTCAAATTGACCCCACGGCTTCGTTTATTTTACAGCGCGCGCATTGTTTTTTCTTAAGAAATGTTTCATGTTATTATTCACTTCCTTTGCCCATTTTGTACATTGAATATATGAAAAGTGAACAAAACCGAGCACCGGGTCGGATCCAACCCCACTTTCTTGGATACGTTGAAAATCCATCTTGCTATTAGAGGGTTAAAATGCACCGCTCGTGCCTGTCGGGGATGCGAGCATCTGAGGTTTTACTCATCGCCTTCTCGAAAGGCGATATACTTCATGCCGTGTGAATAACGTATTTCGTTTGGATCGGAAAACGTGTGGTCCGCACGCCATGATTTGCCGCGTCAAGGTCGAAAGGATCGTGATGTCGTGCGCGTCCCGCAGGGAACGTCGGCTTAATTTCGCGCTTGCGGGTGTGGAGATGCGTCTGAGAATTTCGGGGTTTTCTTATGTATTGCGCGTTCAATAAAATTTAGCGACATTGCCGGCAAGAAAATCGCGTATATACGAAGAATGATTTCTTGATACCTTTCGTAAACGTAAGGTTAAAAATATAGAGAGAGATGCACGTGTACATGTATATATATAATATATGTGTATACAAATTTTTCTTTCAAGGACCCGCCTCTTCATCAACAGAACCACGGTTCTCTCTCCGAGAATTACCTCCTTTCTCTCTCTCTCTCTCTCTCTCTTCCACTGGTCGTGTTATTTTATATAGATATAAATATCGAATAAAAATATAGAGGCGGTCGACCGTTGTTTGGAATATATCAAATATAGTTGATATGTGTAGCCTCTGTATAAGATTCATATCTCGCTTAACAAACACGGAGAAAACTCAGAGCTTCAGCAATTAAAACTATTGTTCTTACAGTTAGAATGAATCAGAAGTGTTTAACGTCAACGATATTGATAATACAGGCAGCACATAAATAAATAAACAGTAAGGCGGTAAAATATTTCGTACAAAAATAAAACATATATTTAACATAATATAAAAACATAAGAAGCATGAAACATATAAATAGATATATAAATATATATAAAATATAATAGAATAATATAAAAAAATAGTGAAGCTATAAAAATATTATATAATTAGTAGTAAAATGTAATGGACATGAAATATAGTAGAATAATATAAAAAATAAGATATTGCAACTCGTAAAATATGATTATCATTCGTGTGTGATATATATATAAAATAGCATTTTAGAAAAAGATTGCTATGAACGCGGAAGAATAGGTTTTGTCGCTTGACAAACGAGTTGCTTTGATGCTCGTATAACGATAATCGGAGTAAACGAAAAACAACGTTATCTTTACTCTACTGATTGTCAAGATACAATCTTCAATCGACTCCCACGTTTTTCATTTGTTCTCTTAAAGATACTCATCTGAACAACTACTTGAGTTACACGCTTACATGTCTCGCGTAGTAATACTGGCTCGATTGAGCGGCGCTAAATGAAAATCAGCGACGGTGACTCTGCGCCCTCGCCAACGATCATCACGTCGGTGTTAACAGAGCATTCTCCGTCTTGTAAAAAATTCGGATCGTTCGCGACGACACGCATCGCGCACAATTTATCAGACAAATGAAACCCCAGCCCACATTTATGAGCTCCGAATTATTTTTGGTTTCTTTTTTTTTTTTTTCTATGCACAGGACGATACACGCGACACACAAGATAACGACATTCGAAATGCACAAGGAGAGGAACATATTACGTTATTACGAGAAAATATTTGTTCGTTTCTGCTCGTTACTGATTATTTCGTTATCATTGTTCTTAATCCAAAGAAATTCTCGAATGATTTGAAACTACATCGGAAAAAAAATTAGGAATTTTTAGTGGCATTTAGTAATAAAATAACACTGTTACCTTCGATCGTATTTTTAATCAAGCGCATTTACTTCTTCCTTAATCTACGGTATCCACTTTATCATCCAATGTTATCGTTAAACGCCTAATTCAGTTTCCAAGTTAATGCCGCGTGCTTTATGAATTTGTGCATGACGTTTGGTAAACATTTCAGTTTATATCTTCGGGGAAAGGAACGACTCGGAACTGTTCGTCGCAAAATGTTTGCGAGATTTTTTGAAAACAAGAACAACGATAATAAAATAATCGAAAGGCGGTAATTTCAGCAACCCAGCGAAGATTCACCCGAAACGTAATTTCGCTCATCGCGATCACACACGTCTGTCCCAAGCGAACGTGACAAGTTCCTACCCGCGAAAGAGGCTGAGAGGCCGATTCTTTGCGACGATGAGATCCCCGTTGATCTTACTTGTCTAGGAGCTTACGTAAATACCTCGCGAAACGTAGACGCAAAAAGACGGCAACAGAAGCGAACGTCGAAGATCGCGTCACAAGCCGACAGCGCAACTGAAGTGGACAGAAAGAGTGGACGGGGCTGTAAACACGGCGAGTCGCGTTCGCAATCGAATAATTGGCCGCGCGCGCGACGGATATTTACTACTTTTCGATCTTGGATCTTCTTTCCTATCATCTCGCTCGTCGGTTTTCATTTTCCCTTTCATTCTTCTTTCGTTCTTTTGTTCGTTCGTTTGTTCGTTCGTTCGTTCATTCGTTCATTCGTTCGTTCGCTCGAAACGGCGAAACGAGCTTACTTCATGGACGCTTGGCTGACCGAGGGCGGCACACCGATTATAGTCGAGCTGCTCAATCTGGATGTCCTGGGCTCGATGTCTAAGGACATGCGATACAGATCCTTCTCGTTCAGTAGAAGCGACGTGTCCAGCAAATAGTTGCTCACCTTCGGGATCAATTCGATCTTGTACGGCGTTTGCTGGAAGTGTCGTATCTCGCGGATCACATGAGCGATCTGTAACGAATGAACGGAATGTTCAGTCAGCAAGGAAACGCGAAACTCCTTTAAAAAGGGGAGAAGTAACATTGGTACGGGTGGGAAAAATCACGAAACATTCACCATTCGCATTTTGGAGAAATTGAGAAGACCGTCCTCGGTTAAGTTCGGAGTACCCTCCTCGATGAACGAGAGATCGGTGAGGTAGAGACCCAAGTAAGGGATGCAGGGTGGATCGCAGCGATGCAGGGCGTCCCGCAAATTTCTGAAGCGTCCGTCAGACGAGACGACGTGCTGCAATCTCTCTATCGTCTGCTTCGTCTGGAAATTAACGACAGTCACGATAGATTCGAATATTTATTCCTTTTAATGTAACGGTGGATAATATAGGATTGTTCGATAAGTTCGTAGCGACTTTCACGATTAATTCAAAGCCCCGCTTGCCTTTATAGTTAGGGATAACTTGACGACTACTTGATTTTTCTCATTTCTTTCGCACTTTTCTCGATGACCTTTCGCCATAATACGAACAAGAAAAATCACGAGAAATTCATTATTCGTCCGTAAATTTATTTTTCCGTTTCTTCTCCGATGACTTTCTGCCGCCCAAAAGGACGAAGGGAATAAAGTTGTACTTAATTAAAAGTATCGGCTTTGAATTTTTAAGTAGAATACCGTGAATTAATTATCAACGATGAGTTCGCTTTAGATATTAATCGACCGGTTGAACACCTGAGATTAGACCGTTGACTTACCGTTTTCGGGACTTTCTCCCAAGTTTTCTTTAGCCTATATACGCTGCTGTTCGTGAACGCCGCGCAAATTTGCAGCACACCGTTGTAATTGTGTAACACTCTGTTGATATCGGCCACCGCGGTCCACTTCTCGATAGCCGACACTCTGGCCGACATATTAGATCGACGAATAATCTCGGAGACCACTAATTGCGACACCTCGTTGAATCTCTTTGTCATCAGGAGGATGTGACGCGCGCGGATCGCTTTGTCCGTCTTCATCCATGCTTGCCCGAGGAATTCTCTGCGAAGCGAATTCTCGTGTGATTAAAACGATTCACGGTGGGAATCGGTGACTCGTTACTTACTCGCTGGTGATGGACACGAATATCTGATGATCCAGATACGTCATCTGCTCCGCGATCTCGAGCGCGGACAGCGTCTCGATGCTCTCTTTGCTCTGAATCTGAATGGAATTCGTCGGTAAAGCGTTAGTCGATTTGGAAAAACCCCAAATATACCAAGGGACGTTGAAGATGCCCCACCGAAAAGGATCAATCTAAGATTGGGCTCAAAGTTACACGCATAAACCCATGGTTGTGTTGCCAATGAACTGGGATCACTTGCTTTCGAATCTTCTGTCTCTCTGTTCATCAAGTTTCAGCCCATTCGATATATCCTTCCAAGTGGGGCATTTTCAATGTCCTTTAGTACATTTCAATTGAATTCAATCAGACGTTGGGAAACTTCAGTCTGAGATATCGAAGCATTTCTTCATCCCTCGATATACTATCAGAATACGTCTGACCTACTTTTAGTTTGTGAGCTCCCTCCTCGAGTTTGCAGAGTTGGAGAGTTCGAACTATTTGTAAAGATTGATACGTATCTCATTATCATTGACGTATATCTCATTATTATTCTTTCTTAAAAGTCTCTTAACGGACGAAGAAAAAATACATCTTCCCTCTTTCTTCAAATTCATCTTATCTTGCAATTACCATTTGATATAACATACCGTTAATCGCAAGTATTTTAGAACGAAATGTCGAAGTACTTTTTCTTTTGTTCTTTTCGGAAGAAGTGCGGAGTACAATATCGAATATACAAGCGGAACGAGAGCCTGTCTCGTCGCTTACCGTCGGCGGCGCCAGCAGCTTGTCCAAGTCGATCTTGCTGTTCTCTTGCTCCTCTTTGGTGAGCAGTCTGAGTAGTTGGCTGGCCGCTTTGTGTTCAGCCGGCAGCAGGTTGGGGCTGTAAATGATGTCCTCCAGGAACTCGATCGTCAGATTCTTCAGTTTCTGATCCAGCTCGAAGTCCTGCGGGTGCTTGGACACCCAGTGCCGCAGCACGTTGAGCACCCTCATCGTCGCTGCGGTCGACATCACCGATTCCTTCCGCCTGTTCTTGTCGCGGCACGAGCCGCTGCGGTTGTTGCTGTCGCTCGTGGGTCCTTTGTCGGGCGGATTACTCGAGGCGGAGGTCGCGATTGCGAACGCGGCCGCGGCCGTGGAGGTGCTGCTCCTGCGTTTGGGGGGAGGGGGAGGACTAACTTTAGACTTGAGAGAGATATCGAAGGGGTAGTCGCGCGCGTTCGTCAATTAAAATCGGAATCGACTCGAGAGAGTTATGTTTTCATCTCGGTTATTATCATTACCACATCGGTCTACGCGTTCGCTCTACGCTCTACGTTGCATCGCCCCTCTAAATCACTCCCGCGAATGATTCAAGCGAGTAAAGTCTAATGTGCATCTCGATTCGCTAACAAGTTCTAGATCATCGGCAAGTCAGCGGTGTAGACAGTACCTTCTATTTGCTAGTCTCACTATCGTGTTCGCTACGAAATACATAAGTATAGTATAGTGTATTTGGAACGGGGATTGAAACTGGCGTAATTCCGACGAGTTCGATCTCGATGCCGCGCGGACGCGAGGCGACCGTCCGGATCGTCGCTCCATTCGTAGTCAAAGGGCACACAGGATCGCGCGGGGAGTCGATGCTCGAACTCACTTCGTGAATTACTCCGGTCGCAATCCTGCTTGCTCGGAATATCCAGCACTAATAAAGCACTCACGTAAAATGACACAAAGGCGGCTCTATCGGGTAAAAACTATTTCTATTTCGTTCGGTCCATTCACACTCTTCTTCGCTATAGTGCATTCTATCAGGCGATCAGGTAGTAAGACCGGATGAGATGTCGTGGTGAGAGTGAACGAAATCAATCGGTCACGACTGATCGAAGGGACGGACGAGGGCGGGGGGAGACAAGCGTCGCGTGTAAGGGTGTCGGGATGATCGTTGTGACTGACGGTTCAAGTTTATAGACGAACAATAGAGAGCAGAGATCTCGTGGCACACAGAGGCACAGGACACGTTCAGGTGTTGTCTAAAGATAATCGCAAGCGGAGGAGCGAGGGTTCCGTTGCCATGCCGCAAGCAACAAGTGGATAATGATGTCTTCAAAATGAGCCCACTTACCAGATAGGTTCAGGTCCAATGCTATGAATGACACAAAACAATACATGAAATACAGTTGAGTAGAAACGGCAGCGGAAGTATTTTCCTGATTAAAGGGACCACTTCAGTCTCGAAGATGGCGACAAAAATCTATATATGTATGTATATATATATATATATATATATATATATTTAAATATATATAAATATGTATAATTAGTCGGACGAAATGGAGCAAAAGTTACGAATCGGGTGGCGACCTTTCGCATCGTACACCGCTCTATTGTTATGTCGTAAACTTGTGAGATGCGAGAAAAATAAGAGTAGAATAGAATAATAAGAATATTTACAAGTTACTCAGAGAAAGGACAAATCGTCGGTAAGAGAAATGTTCTATATTACTTCTAAGATGGTTTCAGCGAGATATGGAGATATAATTCAAATATATTTACAGTATATTTACAATTCCCTCGATACACGTACGCAGATCGTTACGATACTCGAGTACGACTATGTAGAACTCTCGCGGCAGAGCGGATCTTGCGGAAACAGATACTTTTGCACACAGAGCGAGGAATTTGCATTTCAGATGTACACACGTTCCGCTACGAAGGCAAGTAGGAATTTTCCACTATCTTACGAGCTAAACTATCGCAAGATACCGAATATACGCGACATCTTTCTCTTTCCCTCTGAAACTCCCCTATCCACAATTCCTCTCTCTAAAAGTAAGTCAACAAGTAATTACAAGTCTGAGAAAAATAAAACGATGATATCGAGAAGAAGCTCTCATGCGTTAGTAAGCAGAAGTCGCCGTTTACGGCATTCAACATTCAGCAACCGATATACCGAGAAACGAAATAGAGATAATTTTTATCGATACACGAACACGTCTCTAAATCCGATAGACACGATACATAACACGGCGAGAGGCCACGCGTAGAGATCAGAATCGTCGAGAGACGTACCTTCGGTGACTCTGGCGGAAGCTCGTGATCACCACGCCTGCTTTACCGGAGACCTGTTGAGCGTCGTGCTGATAGTTGCTCTGCTGCGAGATGTCCTCCTGCATCGATCGCCGGCTCGCCCAATAATTCTGCAAAAATAATCGCGACATCAGGGACGCGAATTCGTGCGGTCGCGTGTCGCCTCGTGGTGGAATTGTTAATCTCGGGCAAGCGTTTGCGATTTAGTTCGTGAATTCTTTCGGTAAATACAGCCGACGACGAACGTTTTTATCATCACACATACTCCGGTTATGGTGGAGATCGAGCCCCTCCTCGTAGTGCACGGCGGAGCGGAGGCGATAGATGCCCTGTGCTCCGAATATTGTTGACTCGTCTGCGCCGGTTGACTGACCCGCCGAGGGGAGGATTCGCTGTTCTCGTCGTCCGTCGTAGCTTTCCCTTCTTTGCTCGCTTCGGTCGCCTCGCTCGCCGGAGAACCCGGCGTTTTCGTCGGCGTGTCCGGCTTATCGATCGACTGTGTCGGTGTGTCGTAGGTGAATTGTATCTCTGCAACATTGATTTCGTACGCGCGCGTGTGCGTCTCGTCAGAGCTCCTCGTCACTTCCTTTTCTGCTTCCTCTTATTTTCCTCCCGGGGAAGAAAAATTCATCACGCGGATCAATAATTCGCGAAGTTGAAAATCGTACCTCTCGGGCTGTCCTCCGACGTTGCCACGGGCGTGTCGGTCTCCTCTGAAATACCGCGGGAATATGTACCTCCTTCCTGAGGACTCGGATCCGACCCGGATCCGGAACCCGTCGAGCCGATTAGCGTCACGGAGCTTAAGTTGCTCGGCGAGGATGGCGCGCTGATTACTGTAATATCTTGTTTTCCAAATCGCTCGTCTATATTAGCGATACTCTCGAAAATCTCGATATAATCAGCGACGAAATTCGCAAGATTTCACTCATTTTATTTCTTATTGCGCGTATCCTCTTACCATAACACATTACATAATTCTAATATAATATATTATTATACTTTTGTTATTTTGTTTGTGCATCATTACTGTTCAATTACCATTTCACAAGACATTGTGATTGCGTTTACGATTGGTTGGAAAAGTCCTTCTCGAAGAATTTCGTTTGAATTTGCATTTAATTTAATCACGCGACCGACGATTTTTCGCGAAATTTTGTGGAATACTGAAGACATAGATGTCGATCCTCGATTGTACCTGTGAGTGTCTCGGAGCTGGACGACACAGCGATCACTTTTGGTATCGTTAGGTGACATCCGTCGCTCTCGGACTCCTTGTCCACGCGAATACTGATCTTACGTGGCGTGATCGGGGATTGCGACGCGGTGGATGGACTCGATGTCTGCGACGTAGGACTTTTGATGATCGGGGTCTCGGAGATCAGACCGAGTGATTGTTCCTCTTCCACTAAATAAAACAGATATATTCTTTTCTAAATCGCATCTCCTCATAATGGTGTGCTCGTACAAGCGTTATCAATAACGTTATTTCATAATAACGTATGTGGCTTAACGAAATATGTGTCTATACGAAAATACCGTTACGCCCATCACACGACAGGAGTAGAAAAATGTAAAACACGAGTCAGCTGCAGAAGCAAAATATTAATGAATTTTGTTACCGTCGAACCGTTAACGCACTGCGTATTTCATTCATGCAAACATTTATATTGCATGTTTTAACATTTTCCAATTTTGTTTTTTCGATGGGAACAATAGCACCATATATATACATATATACGTAGGCAAAAAATAAGAATATATATATATATATATATTTTTTTTTATATTCATACCGCCCGCGAGAAACTCCATCCTCTGACATTAGTATCCTCCGATGACGCACGTAAATTCTCGTTCGAACATATTCAGCGAATTTACGTCGCAATTTAGAGATTTTCGGTCGAGTCGCTACGTCGGTAATATTACGAAGCACGATATTCTCGTGAAGTACTCACACTTTCTGTAACCGGATCGCCAATGACTTTTTGAATTCAGTCCACCCACGTTAGCATCGAAGGAACCGTGAGACCTGGTTTCCCGACAGTCCGCAGCACTCACTTCTGATCCGTATCCTACGCAGGTAAAGAACGACAAACGAGTATCAATCGATGTTAATCGAAATCGACGAGCAATTAATCACGACGCCGTCGTCAACTTTCGGTGTGCCATCTTGTATTAATTGAATTCAAATATTTATTTATTCTATTAAAAAAGACAGGTAAAATTAAAAAAATTAAGGTTTTCCTCTTTGTTCTTTCTTCTGAAAATTTCTGAAAACTTCTGAAAGCCAGTGATGGTATATTGAGAGTTAATGTAACTCCAAATCGACGGAATCCGAGCTTGACGTACCTGAGACTGAGCTCGCACCGCTTGTCCGTCTAGGTGAGAAACTACTTCTCCTTCGGTCTTCTAATTGTAATTGGCTCTCGCCCGCGGATGCTCCTAACACGTCCAGTGATCTAAAATAGAAATATAATAACGCTGTTTTTACATATGAGTCAATGACATTGAATATTTAACGGTTACTATATTAATATAATATTTTATGATTATATTGATGATTATATTTACACGGCAACGTTAATCCGGTTTAGTAACCACGTAATTAGTGACGGAATTCTTGTATTCGATTGGTACATTTTTTTAGATCTGAAAATATACTCCAATTAAATGTAAGAGCACTCACCAACTACAGTTGTTATTGAACTGGACTAACGTTGCCATGTAACAAGATTTAATGATATGATAACTCGTAATTTTTCTTGAAAACGTAACATCTTTTACTTTTCGAGTGCGTCGCGTTCCGAGTCGAGCGTCATGTTCGGAAATAAGTGAGTTCTACGTAAGATGAAAGTACACGATAAATTATTTTAATCGTGCACTTACATCAAAAATAAGTTTGGGATATAAAACTGACACATACAAATACGTTCTTATTATATGATAAAACTTTCGCAAGAGTACATGTCATGGCTCTGAGAACCCTAAAAAGAACTTTAAAAACGCATCACACGATGTCTACGTGAACACTGAGGTTAGCGAAGTGGCGATCGATGGCGGGAGCCCCGAACGTGTTTTCCTTTCCATCTCAGACCCTTCGCTTCTATTTTCTCTTCATTTGAGGAGCAAACAAAATTTCGTCTGGAATTAACCCTCTTTTGTGCCTTAAAGTTAAAGAAGACATTTTGGAATTATTTAATATTCGGTTATTTCAACATTCGATTTAAATATCATCTTTTCGTAACGTCAATAAGCAATGTATGTATGTATGCGTGTTAACCATACAATTTATTTGACTGCGGGTAAAGTATTACTTGAATTAAGGATGAACATTAAACGAAATAGCATATTGAAATAGTCGGATATTAAAAAATTCTTAAAATTCTTTAAAACGTGTTTTTCCGAGTTTTTTCAACGCGAAGAAAATGATAAAGAAACATTTGCGACGATCAAGTTAGGACAACAATTTATAATGTTCTGTCTCGAGATATTTGATTCTTCATCAGCCTTTCGAGTTCGATGGGATTTGCAGGGCTGATGCCGAGTTAAAATGTCGGGATGGCCCGATAGTCCGGAGAATTCGCGACTAACGTGTGCTGATCATCAAAATTACAATTATTCGTCCATGCAGACGAGGCTGACAGGCGCGCGTTACCGTTTCATTTTACTCACACGAGCGATCCGGTAGGCATCGGCGCGTCCGGCGGCTCAGCCTCGTAGAACACTTTCTTGAGAGCCTCCAGCACGGTGACGCCGTCGGTGAACACCCGGAACGTCAGCAGAAACGTGTTGAGGAAGTCGATGCTGAGGAATCGCAGATCCGTCAAGCGCTGCAGCAGACGTTCCGGCGTGGCGGAACGGATCTGCGGTACCTTGCACGAATTCAAGGTACGACTGAACCGTATGTCCACGTCGTCCTTGAAGAGTTTCGGGTCGTTCTTGATGGACTGCGGCATCGTGACGGAACTGGTGTCCGATCCATGGAGCAGGTCGTTGAAGTGAACGTTGTCCATGCACTGGCTGATGTCGCTGATCCAAGCGGCTTTTTCCTACGGGACGGATTCCGTCGCTCAATAGCTTCATTAGTCGCGTCATGCTCGCGCGCGTATTGTCTCTTAATTATCATCATTTTACCGAGTCCTCCCGAGTCTTCCGGTCCGCGCCTTTCATTTACGCGCGACTCACCTGCATAGTAGGCGCCACGAGATGCACAGTCACCTGAAGCCCGCCGGACTTTACGTCGAGGATGATCTTGAAGTCGCGATTCTGCAGCTGGGAGGACGCGCTACCGCTGCCGCTTCCGCTACTCTCGCTGATGCCGCTTGACATCGAACATACTGACAGTTCTAAAATCAGTTCATAGTCGCTACTCCGCGGCACTCGAGTCAATCGATTGAACAATTTCGCGACTGAGCTCTACTCGTTTTCGCGACCTCCTGCCACGCGATTCTCGCGCTATTCCCTTCACGATAGAAGACTCGGACGACCCTTGTCTGTCTCTCACGAAGGAGAATCCTTTTTGCTGCGTATAAAGTAGCGCGCGACAACGGAAGGAAACGGTACGTTGCATCGCACGTATTGAATATTACGAGTGTCGCCGTAAAACAATGAAGAGAGCTTACCATTCCTTAACACGGTTGAATACGGCGACGGTCGGCAACGACCGACGCCATGGTGCTACTGTGTCTCATTAAGTTACGTGTTAGATATAATAACTTGCATTTGACAAATCCGATCGCACGGCCAACAGAGAGTCGACGAAACAAGGCTAAAGATATACGCGTCTGGAATGATATATTTGTTTCGTTTATCGTACCTTTAGACATTCAATCAACAAATTGTCAATGAAGCTTTTGTACAATTAATGAGAATCAACGGGGCCATCAACTCGGTCGAATCAAATATTTATGTAGCCAGTCCGAAATCGGTATCGAATCAAATATTTATGTAGCCAGTTGCAGGACGGTTGCGACACTTTTTTCCTACAAGCTTTCGGGACGCATTCCGCGTCCGATAAGAGAATTCGTTTTTTTCTAGTAATTCTCAGGAGACACGTTTTCCTATTGGACACGAGACGCGTTGCGAAGAAACTCAAGGGAAAGAAGTGCTGCGACCGTTTTGCGACTGACCATCGTACCATCAACTCGAGGAGATCGCGTGGGGAAAAAGGGTAATTGAAACCGATCGTGAAATTATGAATAAAAAGATAAGTACCGTCATCGTTCTCGGTCTGATCGCTCGGGTCTTCGATCAGCACCGCGTCGGACAAAGGGATCTTGCCGATCTGCGGGACCAAATTCAAGCGACCGTCGTCGTCGGACTGCCGGGTCGTCAGCAGCAGGTGATTCGAGAAGAGGAAGCACTGTCTGACCGCCTCCTTGTCGCTCGCGGATTTGCCGCCGAAGGTAGCGCTCAGCCTGCTTCGTGCGCCGCGCGACTTGTCCACTATTTGCACGAGCGTACCTGGACGAACGAAAACGGGGGATTATAAATGTGATTTATGCGGCGAGCGAGCGGCTCGTGGCGTTGCCAGGTGTCGATACCGATCGACATTCGTGTCTCGTTATTAATACCGTCGGGGAAACCGTCAGGAAATAACGGCGCACCGGCAAAAATAACCCCCCCGGTCTGCGGCGTCGCGTGTCAGCTTCGATACCCGGTGACCCGCGCTTTCTCAAAATAATCGATACAATTAGGGGAGGCCAGCGCACGACGCGCGTTTAAAAATAACACAGCGAGAGCGGCACGCGTGACGACGGTGGACGCGAATGATGGGTCGCGTGGACGGGGATGATCGCGTCGCTGACGTCGACGTTCGTCCATCGTGGCGTTCAAGCCCGCCGAAATCGACCTTTGACGCAACTACACGCGGGGATGTACACCTCCCCCCTCCAGGGCTCTGAATCGAAGGCTGAATTCGCCGAGAACGTGGCACGTCTTGACCTCTCTCCTTTAATCGATCTCTCTCCCCCCCCCTCTCTCTCTCTCTCATTGAGCGCTATACCGACTAGCTTTCTCGCCAAGTGAAAAAAGACAGATTAGGTCAGACGCGTCTCGTGCGCGAATTTCGAGAACTCGGAGGGCCTCGGAAAATTATGCGTGGAAGGGAACAATTTCGCGCGTGAGAGTAAAAATATTCAGCACGAATGTCTCGCGGTACGCTCTAATTGGCCTTCTATGATTTGACATTTGAGAACCGTTAGATAATGTGCTCGGTCGGAAGTGAAAATTTCGCACGCGAGTGTGAGAATCCAGCACGGGAAAAATTGGGATTGTGTCAAACGGAGGAGGAACAACCAGATCATTTTGATTGAAGGCAACGGAATTTCTGAGCATAAGAACGATTTTTAGATCCGTGTCCTTCGACCGGAGCGTATCTGTTTCTCTTCTGGTTAACGTAGCCCGATTTTTTCCCGTGTGAATCAAAGCACACGCTCGAGATTACCATCGCGACAAAGGGGTAGTTTCGTGTCGAATCTAGCATCAGTATTCCCCGCTTGAACGAGCGAGACTCGTTAATATTAACCGCAGACACGTTCATTGACGAGTCCTCCGATCCCGTAAGATTCCGCGGCGCTATCAGCGGGCGAAGAGAGTCGCGCACGTACCTTAACTAAACGATCGAACTTAACGGTCCTCCGGCAATTCCTTGCGTGCGGACGAAAGCTACGACTGATCCTTAGCTTCCTGATTACCCTTGGTCCCTGATACCAGCGTCGCACGTACCTCGCTTGGTCCCACCTCGCTCACTACCGAGCCAGATATTATCGAACTCGCGCACCACGTCGCAAAACTCCACTCGGCCTCGTCGTCGTCGTCGTCGCCGTCGTCACGCACATCGAGACGCGCCGTCGAATTGACGGGCCGACAAAATGGCAACGCGGATTGGCCGCCGCTTGTTTTCGTCCGTTCGTCGACCCCCAGCCCACCGTCACCGTCAGACATCCCCCGCGTAAGCGATCCTCGACCGAGACTCCGGCTCGAGACGTCGCCGTATTTCCGAGCGAGTGACGCACGCCGTCGCGCGAACCGTTCGCGTTCCTCGGCCGACTTTTTCGTCGCGGGTGGAAAGGCCAAGCGGCCAAACGAGGGTTGTCCGCGGGAGGGGCTGTTGTGCCGCTGGACGGTTTACGTGGTAACCATGTGACGCGCCGGCGAGCACGAGGGGCGCCAAGGCTGTACCGAGGGATTCGCCGGGCCTATTCGCCCGGGATTTCCCGACTTCAAATGGCTTTATATTCGGGACGGTCTGTAACCACTCGTCGTGCGGAGTTGCACGCTACCGCAAGCTCGATCAACCGCACGTTTCACCCACAAATTTAGATACCGTCGATTAAACCCGCCACATATATAATATAATTTATCATTCTCTCGTTACATATAAATTTGCAACTTATTCTTGTAGCGTCTCGTATTTGTCCCGCTATTGGACTTTCTCAACGTTATACGTGAAAAATTCCAACTTGTTAGTACTCGAATCTCGAATGTTCTCTAACAGTTCAGATCGTAGCTCAATGTCGGGAAAGCCGGTGCATCGTAGCGAGCGCACTTGAAACAGCTGTTATTAAGCTGAGATTCAAGTTCTCGCGATGGTAGAATATTTTCCTCGCCTGTCATCGTGCCGCGATTCGCTGTCAAGTCGTTCACATGATCGGTCGACGCAAGGATTCCTCATCTGCCCGAGGTGCAGCAACGCGATGATACGTCAGCGTTGGCAGGACGGATTGCGCAGGATCCAGGCGAAAGCGAGGATTCAGTGCGAAGATGCTATGTCGCGTCATCGATTCTCCGGAAACACACGCGCGCGCCTGCGCCCTTTAACGCGCGAGTTTCCTCTTTCTCCCTTCGATATCCTCGACAATGAAGAGCGGTCGGTCGTCTAGCTTTTACCGACAGCGATCAAGCTCAGATTCGAGCTTCCCGACCAAGGATAAGCTCGCTGAGGACGAATGACGGTCGGTAGATTATTTCCGTTTTACTAACCCCGACGGAACGTATTGACGAGCAAAGCCGAGGTTGCAGAGGAGTCGCCTTTGCGTTGTAATTGAGCACATCGTTTCGAAACTTGCTTGCCAATGAATTCAGTCGAAAACGATCCGGCAAAGATCATATTCACCGTTTTCGGACCGACGAGCTTCATTCGCACGATTCGAATATCTTTGAGCTTGGAGCGAACGTTCTCGTTTTAAAACGAGTTTCAAACGCGCGCGGGGGAGGAAGAGCGCTTTTTTACTGGACTCACCTTGCCTGACGAAGACCTGATTGACGTCCAGCAAAATATCACACCCCTCAACGATCATCCGCTCCACGGCTAAGTTCTTCCGCAAGTTTTCGGTCTCACTGACCTGATGGCAAGAGACGGGCAGCGATTAGAATTTGGATTAAGGCCGGCGTTACTGTAGGATTAACCTACTATTACCTCGTCGTGCATTTGTCTCGACAGGTCCTCCAACTGTTGCTTAGCATTCTGAAGGCTCTTGCGTTCCACGTGGTCGTACGGCGTGTGCGCCAGTAAGTCGTGCAGAGTAATGATATACCTTGGGATCTGCGGAAGTTCAAAATGCGAGTTTTAATCCGAACTTCCGCTCGCGAGTTTCGTACGGTACGAAAGAGTCGCGAGCGATCAGCTGTCCGCGATTCGCTCGAATCTCAATTAGTCTCCTTAAATACGGGGAACTTGGTGAAACTGAATTAATAACCGAATGCGGAGGTGCCGCGTGTTAATCCCTCGCTGTATTCGCGGCGACCGTTAATCGGCCGGCGAATTGAGGGAATGTTTGCCGCGGGACGATGTATATTTTCCGCGCTACCGAGAGTCCACTTATCGACAAGATCCTCAGACTCCATGCATTATTCATGGAAGTTTCGAAATTACCCCGGTCCGATAGACCGTCCCTGATGACGCGTTTGTATCAGCGAGGATAATTGCTTCGTTTCCTCGGTATTTTCGCGAACTTCGCGAATTTCGCGAACTTCGTTTCCTCCTTGCGAGAATAACCGCGAGCGAACCGCGCGATTTCTCGCCCCGCGCATTTCACGACGATTCCCTGGCAATGGCGATACGAGGCGAAATTTTTCGTCGAAATTTTACCTCGACGATTTTCGAGAACACTCGCCAATCTGATATCCCCGCGCTCGCCTCTGCGTCTCGCGCAGTGCGGCACTTGAAATAGGTCGGGATGACGAAAATACGCCGGGACGTTTTAATAACGACGGTTTAACGCGGACACGAGCGCGCTTCTCGGCCGAATGACCGCGAAATGACATTATCCACTTCGCCTGGTGCACCTACTCGATCTTTTCGGATGAGACGGACGTGGAATAAGAAGGAAAAGAATGAGAAAATGTGAGATACGCGCGCCGCGACCACTCGGAAAATAGGAGAAAGGCGCTTGGCAACGTTAATACCTCGCGATGGGGAAATCGAGTCGACTTTACCTAAGCGATGGATTCGTGGAGCAACGTCACGAAGCCATTACCTGATGCATGGGATACGTTAGAAAGGTCTCTAGAGATCGTCCTTGGCAGGCAGTCTTTTGCTCCGACCTCTTGAGCAATGCCGCGAACGAGGCTGATTGCTTGCATTCGGTTAACACTTGAAGGCTGTAGTGGTGGTTTCGCACGTACTCTTGATATATTGATAACATCGGTAGTAGCATGTCGAACAAGTCACCTACGTGCACCGGAAACGTCACGATCGATCAATCACGCGAGCCTCCACTTCTTATTTTCCCGCCAAATGTATACACCAATGTATATATTAATACTAATATGTATCAAAATCAATATATTATATTAATATTAATATAACATCTGTATACATATTGACATTATTTATATTATTATGATGATGATTATTATGTATGCATATATGTGTATGTGCAAAAGAGAGAGAGAGAGAGAGAAATTACAAAATAAGAATATTTTAGCTGAATAAATAGTGGATATTTTGAAACTTTTGAGAATCGTTAGAAATTCTTTTTTAATCATGATGATAATCCTTATTAACGGGAGAATCTTTTAATGAATAAGAGATAAAATGAAGATTGTAGATGACAGAATAACATAACATTATTACTAGTTACATGTAATTTAAATTAGACGAAATAGAAATTCGCAAAACGTAGAATACATGGATTCGTGGTACAACTCTATTAAACCTGCGCGCATAACGTAATTTGTAAAAGTTGTCAGTGATCCGTGAAAAAATTCTACACAATTCTAGTTGGGGAATTAGTTTCACATCATGCACAATTTGCCAGTGTGAGAGCTGATAGCACATAAAGTTTGGGCATAAAGTTGTAAAATATAAAATAATGGTAATTTCCTGAAAGGTCCAGGAAGAACGTTAATTTTAATGGGTTCAAATATAGGTGGAGAAACAATCAGCTGAAATTAAATATGCTGAAAACGATCAAAGATCTATGCTGAAAATAAAATGAGAGATCAATCTTCTTTTTTGTAATGGCAGCATATTCAATTTATTTAATGTGGAACGATAATCATGGTATGTATAAGCTTGGGCTTATCCAAACAACAGCTAGCAAAGCGTAAAAATGTGTGCTGCATACGCTCAATCATATCACACTGGCATATGAGGCTAGTATAGTGACAGTTAATGTAATGGAAAAATATTGCAACCTGGGACGAACAAAAGCGCAGTATAACAGCCTAAGTGAGTTTACATTCTTAAAATGTTTTCCCCGACGGCAAATAAATCCGAGCGTCCTGTTTGCAGAGGACACAACAAAGAGTGTATATATATGTATCAAACGTTAGATTGTGGCTAAATGTTGTTCCCAGATCACGAACGTTGTCCTCGGACTTTTAGATTTCAACATGTCGAGAATCAGAGAGACGATTCTTTACTCATTCGCGTATATCGATCGGTATCGCTTAAGTATATTAGTGATTCGTACCTAAAACTAAAGTGGGCCAGCTCTCCATACGAGAAGTGAGACCCTTCAGGAAGATCTGATGAAGGAACAGCACGGTCTCGCTATTCAAAAATATGCTATTCACATCCTCGTGACTACATGGGGGTTTCTTTGAACTGGCAGCCATCTTGAAAGGCCTCAGAAAACAGATTACTAAAACTTCCATCTGCTCCGTGTACTCCACCTCCGCCTCCACCATTTTAAATACCAGACTGAAAACGGGACGACAGAAATGTACACACACACACACACACACACACACACACACACACACACACACACACACACACACACACACATATATATATTCAATGTCCTGTGGCACGAATTAAATGAAACCAATAACCGCGTTGCCTTTTACGTCGCTATTATATCACGAATGAAAGGAAATATCGGGGCGCGCCGCGGCTGATTAAAAAATCTCCCAGTGGCGATGAAAAACGCCGGTCGCGCGAGCAAAAACAGCTTGATCGGTGGAATAAAAGCGGAAGCAAGAATATTCGTTGAAATCGATATTCTTTCGATACCTTAACACGCGTGAAATGAAACTTCCTTGTTATTCAACGTGTCAAATGAAGAGTCAGACGTGAATTTTATCCGATGAAGGAGGGTCCCTCGAGTCGTTCGCGATGCTTCAGGCTTTTTTCGAACGTCGGTTTTCGCGTTCAAGTCGTGCTCGTTGACATATTAATTGCAAATACGAGAATGGCGAATTCGCTGTTCTACGCCAATTATGAGTTAACTTTTATAGGATTTTTCTTTCTTTTTCGTAAATTTTACCGAATAATAAATGTAATTAAAATTATATTTAGTTATTCATATTAAAATAAAAATATATATTCATATTAAAATAAAATCACTATAATTATACAATTATGTAATAATAATTATATTAATTAATTCACTATGAAACCGTTCATATTAAAATAGCACGTTACGTTTTAAAGTGACGTGGAAGGAACGAAGTTTCCGAACATCACTGTGGCAGTCAACGTGTCAGTTTCGTTGAAACTAATTCCAATACGATGATCGCACGGTATCAAATACGGTTCGAACGATCCGCAGCGGGTCGCTGCAATGGGAAAGTGAAGTCCGCGAACAAGTTGGACATAATCGGGGTCCACTCGAGGCAAGAGAAAGAAAGAGAGAGAGAGAGAGAGAGAGAACAATTACCTGTTCCGCTTGCGCATGCTTTCCGCGTGCGGGCTTTTGATGTACTGTTCAACGATCTGCTTCCAACGCCTACGGCACAGCCAACCTCTGAAGAAACTCTGGACCTTCTTGATTTTCTGCATTTCAATGGAACCCTCCATAATGCCGCGTAATGCGGGCGCCCCTCCGAAACCAGTTCCGGCGATGCCGTAAGCTGCTCCACCGAGCGCCATAGATCCGCTGTATAAACTTGCGGTACCTTGAGACATAGTCCTTTGAAATGCCGGCCTACAGTACGTCGGCGTCACGGAGGGCCTCAGTTCCTTTTTAAGTGTACACAGCTGCAAGGAAAACCACGGCGAAATCCGAGGACGTGAAACTCATAAAGAGGCAAATATCGACCTATACGTAGAACCTTCTCGCTCGTTCGCCCGCTGCAAGCCCAGCCGAGGGGAAAACGACGAAGCCCGGAAGATCCGTCGAGAACGAGTGTAAATAAATATTGCTTTTCGTCGCGAAAGCGCAAGAGAGAGCGTTGATTAATTCTTGATCTGCTCTTGATTCGATCGTCAAACTTTCACGTCGAGGGCCGATGCGAGGGAACGAATCGAAGAGGGGTGCGATAGCGATGAGCAGGAGGGGACCTCGTTACACGGATGGCTCGATCGAGGCGCAAGCTGCTCAAAAGTGAGCGGCTCGAAACGCGAAGGGCTCAAGCGGAATTTTCAATTTGGACCTATGCGTTTGTCGCCGGTATAATTTACTCCGACACGAATTAAAACCGAGGAAGTCGTTGAGGAAGTGTGACTTGATTCATCCCCCTGGCATCCGGTTGAAAGAAACGCACGCAATTCGTGCGCGATATGTAAAAACCGTCCATCTCGAGTCTACGTTGTGGATTGAATATTTCACGAAATTCGTGTCCGTTATTTAACCAATTTCGATGTCACCGTGGGATTAACGCGGGTCGTCAAAGATAAAAAGGAACGGCGGACACACATGGATCTTCTCACGCGGAATTGTCAGGTGGTTTTCGAAGAATTGGTGTTCTCGTTGCGCGGACCGGCGGTGAAACCACCACATCGGTGGAAAATAAAAGTGCTCGCGGAATTATCGCGGGGAAAATATGAGGGGCCGCGGCGATACGCGGTCTGATATGACTACTGACCTCGGTTCGCAGCTTTTTTATCTCCGACGCCAATTCCTCGCATTGCTGAGTGTACTGCCACTTGGCCGTCTTCTCGCTCTCGACGATTTGCAACAGGTGCAGGTGCTTCTGCTCGAGCTCCTCCTTTTGTAGCAACAATTTGTTGAAGCTGGAATCAATAGCCAAGGAAAAAAGGGGAAGTTGAGTCGGAAGTTGCGCGTATATGTGTACGCGCGCGCGCGCGCGTGTATGCGCTCGTATCCGAGCGTCGCGGCTTGAGAGCTTTATTTAAGCGGAACAGCATCGCAAAGGGAAGTAAAACGGCGGATCGTCGTGTTCCGTCGGGGGCAAAGAGGGAAAAAAGAGAGTGAAAAATGCGCAAAATGAACATTCCGCGAATTTCGTACGAAAACGATATTACGATTTTTTGCCCCCAGTCACGGGGCGACTGAGAAACAGAATTTCGCGAGAAATTCGAAATATTTTCTGACGTGCTCTGAAACAGCAAAAAATACACATGCATATCTCGGTCATTTTTGTTTTTTTTTTGGTCTTTCAAGTTACATCTCCCAAGTTCGAAATTTCAGAGTGGAACAAATGAGTCCAAATTGACGGACGACCGCGCGGCTGAAAAGCGTAATGCAATTACTAGTATCGGGTTGGCTGAAAAGAATAGCGGGATACGCTCGTGACGAATAAAACGTCCGGATTTCGCGGCTAACCGCGGATGGATCGGTGGCTTTTTTCCCCCGGAATCCCTCGTTGCCTGGTGTGTATAACCCACGACTTTCGGCGTCTACGGCCTGTCGGCATAATCTTGGCAAGAAGGAGGGTGCGCGGTAATCCCGCCGAGCCGGTTCCGAGAGCAAAGTGATACGAGTGATGAAACCGGGCGAGGGCCAAGTTATTTCAGCGTGCGAAGAGAGAGATTTTAGGGAAGAATCGCGTCGCGAAAGATACCATATTACGCGCATACGTTTTATGTACAGGGCGAGGCAGTTACGCCACGTGGAATATCTTCGAAATATGAGAGCAGGGGAAAATCTGTCGATTATTATTATTATTATTATTAATGATCATCGTGCTAGCGACTCTCTGCAAATGTAAGCTCTTTTCATCTCTCTTTATTTAGCCGTGAATAAAACATTTCCATCTTCCGAAGATATTCTAGATTATAATAGTTGCTTCCTCATTCAACATATATACTAAAGCAGGAGATATGATACTTTCATTTCGATAATCACGCGAAATAATTTGTACCTCGCGATTTCCGCGGCATAATTCGTCCTCGCGCTCCCGAACGCGTGTAACCTACTCTCCCGCGAAACGTTAAACATTCACTTGTGTATTCTCGCTTCTCCAAATTTTCAGGATCCCCACGATAACGATCAACAACGCGAACTCGTTGAAATCGCGCTCTCTTCTAGTCGGCAGCGACGAAACGATTTTTTTTCCCGATCCCGACTCGAATTTTCAAAAGGTCCGCTATCCGCGTATCCCATCACACGCGCATCTCTACTACTGCAAGTACGCAGCGCGAACCGCCGTCCGGTCCGGTATTAACGTTACCTGGACGAGTTATGCTTGAGTTTACGCGGAAACAAGCGCTCAGACTTGGACCGCATGGAGAGCGCGGAGCAGTTATCGATCGGGCCCGCCTCGTGACACGAGATACTCGAAGAAGTATCAACCCTGTGATTTCGAGCACGCTGCCCGCCGGAATCGCCGGAGTAACACGGATATCATTATCTATGCATATTACGGTGCGGCTTAGCGTTGATCTAAGGAGGCGCAGCCACTTCGCCGGCATATGAATGTGCATAAGCCCGGGCTGGAAAATGAGCGGCGCGACAGCAGCGGCAGGGTGTAGTTTCTCCTGTGCAGCGGAACATGCGAAGGATGGAGTATCTTTCACCGCGAGAAATATTACCCCGCCGTTTTACGTGACGTCAACGAGAAGGTACGATCAGACGGGTCGATTCGTTCTCCGATTGAATTGCGGCCGAATCGACGCGTGAGAATAATGTGCAATTCTTTGTCCGTGACATTCGAGAAGCGTCTAATTGGGCGGACGAAGAAAAATGGCCGGGTCACGCGGAGGAATATTTCTCGCTTCGACCGAGCTAATTAGACAAATGAGTGGGAAAGCGATGGCATACGGGGATGACGTATGAACGCGATCTCGATGGTTTGACGGAATACAAACGTCCTCTATTAATTTGCGAGGTGTCAGCCGGGAAAATACAGATCTGTGGCCGCCATTCTTTCCCCCGCGTAATGGCGTGCGTCGCATGGCGCGAGGCGTTAGAACGACATTTGACGCATCTGCGAGCATCAGCGGAACGATCGCTCGCGCGCGCAACGTCGTGAAACACCTGCGACGAAAAAAATTGCGAGGGACGGCGATCTTGCGTTTCCACGACCGTACCGCGACAGAAGCGAGATTAGCGGTAACAAAATTGTTACCGAGCCACGCGAAGTTCGTCGGTTCGTGAAAGAACGAAGCTACTTCCTCGTCGAAGCTCCTTTGCATTACCGCGTTTTTATCTTCGTCGGCCGGAGCCGACGGGCTGATTCCCGGACCGTTCCGAATCCATGTTCTCATTAAGAGTACACTGATAGAAAATTATAGTTAGTTTCGACGCCATTTTATAGTAATATGCATATTAGGTTATTATCACTGATACTATAGTAACACTTGCTAGAAAAATTCTTTTGATTATTTTTCCGATTAAAAGGTACATTTGGCGGTGAAACTAAATAATTTTCCGCCAATGTAAATTCGACATCGCGCAAAGTTGCGCGGAATATTTCATTACGCGATATTTTTAATTTCAACCATCTCACCTCTGAATATATTTCTTGATCATTGAGCGTATTGTGGTTTTTCATTATAATTTATTACAGATAATTCATTCTCGTGCATTTATTTATTTATTTATTGATAAAAATTGTAATTCTCTTCAGATGACAACATTAATAACGATTAACTTTAATTAATATAAAAGCAGCAGTAGAGTCCCGGATTTCTCTGGGACATATGCGTTTTCAGAGTTGCGCACTCTGGTAAACATCCCATGCATTTTTCAGCAGTTGGTGGTTAGTTATATTAATTTCTGTCTAACCGTAAACAACTTGAGATCCCAATCAAGACGCAGAGCTTTTTCTGCAGTTACTGCTTGGCGCAAAAGATACGCAAAATCTGAATCCACTTAGTGAACGCGGATAAAACAATAAATGGACAAAAAGCTATTTAATTAATTAATAAGCAAACCTGCTGCTTGCGAAATTTTACTTTAGAAATAGCCCCGAATAAAACTCTATCAAGTCTTTATCCATTTCCTACGTTATGTAGTATTGTTACGATTAATAAAAATGCATTAATACTAGACAGTAACTAGACAGGTGTCTAGGAAAACTGCATACGTTTCTGCCGGGATAGCGAAAGAGTTAAATAGGTGAAGAGAGCAGCTTTGCTCTTTTTTTTTTTTAAGAAAACTCGGCCCGCACGTAGGCCGGAAGAGCAAGCTCGTCGATTATCGTGCAGATCGGTTCGCGATTAACGGATAAGACACATTTACGATTATTAATAACACACCCTTGCAGCCCCGGCATCGGTCTTTTCCCGATAAACGCTGCATGGGCCTGCAGTCCGCCCCTGCTAAGACGCGTTTGATAGCGTGATGAAGATTACTCGAACGATAATGCGCGCAAATTACATCGCCCGGGATTAATAGAGGCTGTTGACTGAGACGGCTCGGTGTTAATGCGCTGCCAGTAAACGTATTTATCAGCGCATCAACGAGATTAAAGGAGCCTCCCGCAGATAATGGACGAAGTATAAACCGCCGGTCTATGGTCTAAAGCGCAGGTGAAATAACGCCCGGCGACATCGGGAGGACAAAGTTAATCGTTGCCGCGCCGCGAATGCAAACCACGTTTTCCGTTTGCGGAATTATTCCGCATTATCTCGCGCGCGCGCCTGCCCGAATGCGTCCGCCCTTCCCTGTTCCGTGTAAGATAAACGCGTGTAAATTTCCGACCACACGATTCGAGATTACCTCGCTTTTGTTACTAGAAAAAAAAAAGGGGAGAAAAAGCGAGGAAGGAGGAAAAAGGATCCGAGGGACCGCTAAATATGAAGAAGAGATGATAACGGAGTGGCGGGTGGTCCGCGTTTCCGCGCGCGCGCTGTAACTTTTAGTTGATAAAACTCGTGAAAAATCCGCCGTCTGCTGTCTTCGCGGCGTGGCGTGGGAAAAATCGCAGGGACTGCCGTTCGTAATTCGGTCGGTGAAATATATACTGTCGAGCATCATATCCCAAACGCTTTTATCGCGGGGATCGTATTTTAATTCACGCCGGGCCGAGTATCGACGTTGAATATCGAATAATAATATCTCTGACACGCATATGCAACCGGTTTAATTCCGAAAGAATTTTTAACGAAGCTACAGTATACATACCGGCAATGTCGTATTTAATTTCCCTACCACAGAAGTCAGCGAGAGGGATAAAATTAAATAGAGACAGACAGACAGACAGAGAGAGAGAGAAAGATAGAGAGGGGGGAGAGAGAGGAAGCTGGAGTATGCAAAATCAATCGCTGTGCAACCGGCTCATTGAGGGGCCGACGACGCGTCGAAACGTTTGTTTTTGCTTTCATTCATTCCGTCTCTTTCTCCCCTTCTTTCATCCCTTCTTTCGAAATTTCCAAATGCAATTAATCGCCGTTCGCGTGGCCGGCTGCTGCGCCGGCGGCACGTATCTAATTGGAGCTTCGAATTTAAACGCAGTCCGCCGCGCACTCCCGGTCATCAGGGATGATCGTGGTGATTTACGGGATCGAGCGGCCCGCAATCTCCATAAATCAGCACGACGTGTGCGTGGTTTTAATCGGTCCGCGATCTTCGGTTCGGCGCGAGCCTGGAGTTACCTGGCTTCTCGTATCGCATCGATCCATGTTTTGCAGTCTGTCTCGGTGGCCGCTTTCAGCTCGTATTGCCGTTGATTCTCCCTCCTGTACGATATCGCGAAACAGTGCTGCAACAGAAAGACCGAAAGGGGAGTGGAGAATGAAGAATGACAAAGAATCGAATTCGTGCCTAATGCGGAGAGAGCGGCTCGACGCCGTGGGCGATCGGACGGCGGGAAGCGCGACCCTTCCTCGTCCGTTTGCGCACGGCGAGGGAAAATATTCGATTTGTGCATCGAGAGCAGACGCGCCAACATGTGGAAAAATGCGGGCAGGCAACGGTACAAAGCGTAGAGAGACGCGAGAAGCACCTCGTGCCATTCTTCTCTCTTCCTCCCTTCCCGCGTCTCTCTTTCTCTCGCTCGCTCGCTCGTATTCGATTTGCACGCTCCGCTATTTATAAGCCGCGCGCAAATCCGGAAGCACCTGCTCCCGGATTTCACATGACCCACTCTCGTAGCTGCGAAGAAAAAAAAAAACGCATAAATCAAGGAAGCTCGGAAACGCTTTCGCTTTCACGCGAAGATGGTATCCTGGCTTTGTCGATTTTATCCGTCCGGCGTTCTTGTTATGTTCGATATTCGCGGTGCGATTATACGAATAACTCCTGTAACCGCGATTTCGTCGACTCATCGCAGCTCGTTCGATAGTCCGTGCGAGTTGAAAGTACCAATTAGCCCCACTGGCGAGGCCAAGTCTAGAGATCCTGTAATAAAAGTCTGGATCCGATGCGGTTTTGTCAAAATTACGCGAGAAAGAGAGGGAGAGAGAGAAATGTATTGTGTTTCTTTCTCACACCTTGACGCGTCTCTAAGGTCAGGATTCATTTCACGCTGCGAACGATGTGGAACGCTTAAAGAAAGAACATGATTGGTCTACACGGCGCTTCAAAGCGTTTGCAATGTAAAATAGACTCCAGCCTGTAAAAAATGGATAGGTGCGCAGCTCCATTTTGCAATATTTCTTCAGCCGAAGGTTACGTAATAAAAGTGTTCCCTAGAACGTCGTGCTTTATGGGCAAAAAAGTGTTGGATAAATTAAACACTAAAGAACAATTCCTTTCTCCCGCGAGGATAAGTAATATTTTTAACATGCATTATTTAAACATGTAATGTAAGAGATCTATTTGTTAATACCTTCAAAATGTTTCTTCTTCAACTGTACTGTTCAAATTTGAATGTAACACGAATAGAAAAATTCGAATATCCACAGGAGTTGTCAAAAAATAACGAGCCAATCAAAAGTGTTTCGTGTGTAGGCTATTATAGGTGGGTCTTCAGTCAAACCCGACGTTTTGCGCCGCATGTATCCTCGTGATAATAAAAAGAGCGAGCCGAGCGATCTCTCTTCTGATCTTTCCTCCACGGACGACTTTTTGCTAAGTAGGAATTACAGAATTATAAATATCTCTTCCGCTGGGGAAAAATACATCAGAACCGTGGTGGAGGTAAACCGTGATCGTGCGCATTTAAAGGGCCGGAAAGAAAAGTTGGCGGAGCCCGTCGCGGCGTCGCACTTTGTGAACAACTTTCTCCATCCGGCCGCTCGTTTACGTCCGACAACATTCCGGAAGGCAAACACGCAGAAATGGAGAATGCATCTCGCCGGGAAGGGAAGCCTCACTTTGCGTTTTCAAAGGAAATTCTCAAGCTGTTTTTATTCGCGATTTATTCACGAGGCTCGGCGTTTGGCGGCGTGCCTCCGCGCGACCCTCCCTCTATCTCGTGCAGTCGCGCCCCGGGCATCTGCACTTTGAAGAAACGCGGGATGACACATTTCCTTGTCGTCGTCGTCGTCTTGTTAACGTATAAGGGAAGGGACAGACACTGCACACTGATCCACCCATGTGTACGCTCGCTCGCAACGCACCAGGTATCTCTTGCTAAACGTGCCGGGGAAAACTGCCATTTTTCCCTCGTTTCAACTTTCAGAATGTTTATTCCTTTCTCCATGTTTCTTTTTCGAACTGAGGGGAAAAAATTGCGCGCTTCGCGTATCATGAACGGGATAACTAAGCCGGGAAGTTGTGGCCACACGAGAGCGCAGCTACCGCTTCCTTTTTTTCACGTGTGTGCCGTAACGTGGGAGTTTACCGAGCGGGGGAGAGTGTGGACTCTGCGCGTGGTCAAAGCGAGAACGTATTTAGTTATGCCGCGTGTAAGCCACGTTTCCTTGTTCCGCAAGGGAAAACGGTTAGAACGGTTAGAAAGAGGAGGAAGATTATTCACAATCATTTCCTTTGTATACTCAGCGAGACGGCGCGGAACAATCCGTGATGGCGACGGCGGTGATGGCGGGGGAGGTGAACTCGGTTATCGCGCATGATACGGACTCAGAAAATGGAGATTTGACTGTTGCGCAGAGATTAAAGCAGACTGATTACCTCTCCTTTTTTGCGGTACTCGACGCGTACATTAACTAATTTTCGCCGTGGTTAACATCGATTTGCCGTGTGGTGACTTATAATGTGAATTATACGCACACACGTTAATTAATTAAAATCTGAGGTGGCGATGTAAAACGGGCGCATAATTATACTCGCGCACAGCATTAAAACGCAATAACAACGAGATGGCTTTCTCTCTCTCTCTCTCTCTCTCTCTTCTCACCCGGAGACCGAATTACGTGTTCGTGCGCACGGGTCGAATATTCGCAGTTCCTGCGTACGTACACATATCGTATGGGCACATGCGCGTGATCGGAAATTATTAATACTAACGTCATCCTGAAAGCAATGTCGCATAACCTCGTTAATTAAAAATCAAAAATAAATTCGAGAAGGAGGGAAGGAGAATATGGAAACGCGTGATAAATCGAGAAAGAGAGAGAGAGAGATAAATGCTTTTATAGTCGTTCTAGAACAAAATCCTCTAAGAACGGTATTCATAGTCGGATCTTATAATTAAGATTGTTTTTATGAAGTTCATTTTCACAGATGCTGCACGGCTCATTTCATTGACTACGAAGCATCTGAAGACAAACTTAAGACAGTTTTAAATATAAGATCTGACTACAAATATTGGCGTTTTACGTTGGAAGCCTTAATTAATACGCAATTTTGTGAAATTTAATTACAATGCCATACAGTCTTGCCACTTTTCCAATGATGGTCACCCGGATACTAGATTAAAAAAAGATCTCAGGATGACATTAATAACAATGATGATGAAGATTATGTATTCTGTTTATTATTTTATATATTATAATAATAACTACATAATATATGGTAATACATTTAAATAATATGTAGAAACGTGTAGTAATAAACAAATAATATATATAAAACATTTAAATCATTAATATATGGGTTCATATATGTGTTCATCACATCGTAGATTAAAAATATACTTTATATAGACGTTCAACGAGCTGTTCAATTGAATGTTTCGTATAATATTTAGATCAAAGAAAGAGAGAAAGAGAGAGAGAGAGAGAGAGAGAGAGAGAAAGAGCCGCACACACGAGGTCAACTCCGAATTCGTTACACTTCACGACGTGCGCGCGCGTTTCGTCCACGTGATACACATCGGCGAGACTGGCTCGCAAATCGCACGAAGCAATCTGAATTTAGGTCCGCCCCGAATTCACTTGACCTACGCTACATTAGCTCTCTACGAGGTCGTTATGACGCTGTAATTGGCGTGCGTGCGTGTGCGTCTGAATGCTCGGGAGAAGCGGTTAATTAAAGCACTTGACGTTACTAAGCTTCGTTAAGTAGCCGCGGCTGGCGAGGCGGACATTCTGTCGGCATCGACTTTAACGTCCCATTGTATTCGCGACAGGTGACAAAAGGCGCGCGTTGCACATTCTATCGGACACGGCGCATTGCGCGATGCGACGAGACGCGAACTGCCCGTTGGTTGGCAATTGCAGGCGAGATCGGGTGCAACGATGACTGTCTGAGGGAATATTCTCGATCTATGTACACGTAACTCAGACGTAAGTCCTGCGCAAGCTGACTAAGTAGATTTCGCGATATTACTTGGAGATATTGGAGTCTCCCAGCACCGGTCGGTCGGACGCTCGGTCGTGGTATACGGAACGTAGCGGCGTACTGTTTCAATTATGAAAACGCCATTAGTTGGCGCTATCGATTTTCCACGGTCTGAGGATATCGCGAACGTTCGTTCGGATTACCCATCGCGCGAAACAGAGAATACTTTATCAGTCATTCGCGGAAAGTGAGCGGCGAGGGCTCGATTATTTCGCCGTTACTCCCGATCTGATATTCCCTCGCGATAAAACGGCGGATCGACGGGAAAGTGTTCGCTCGACTTGTTTCCTTAAGCGCTCGAGTTAGCGCGGCACGAAACGCGTGTATTTGCAACGCAAGTAGATCCAACAATTACCGCTACATCTCAGGCTACTTCGATAATATTATGCGAAAGGATACAACCGGGGATTTCATTTGCGTGTATGTGCGATCGGCCGGAATCTTAAGCGCCTTCACACACGAATTTCCGTAATCGTGAACCTAAGACGGTCAATTTCGGCTGAAAATCCAATCAGGATATTGCTTTGGATTTATGTACTCTAGAAGAGGAGATAGAAAGCTGACGGTAAATTTGATGGCGAACAGACGTAATTAGCAATTGAAAACCTAATTACTCGATATAAAGTCTAATTACTCGGTCACATCCGTCTTCTTCTAGAGCACACAAACCTAACGCAATATCCGATTTATTTTTTCAGCTTAAGTTCGCAGCGGGAGCGTTCATTTCGATAACAAACATTTCTCGAACACCGGAAACTTCCCTGACCGTTTCCTCTTCGAGTAGGAAAGACACGGAGATATCCCACGCCCGGGATCGGCGAGATCTGCATGGGGAATTTTCAAAGAATGACTCGTGATATCGCTCGTGATATCGAAGGTACGAATATCATGGTATTGACATATTGAACTCAGGCAAATCTGATTTGCGAGAGAGAGCTCTCATGCAAGGTACGCTGAACTTTTCGTTCGCGCAAATACGAATTCAGCCGCGTCGGAAAGTCAACGAAATGAATATTCTAAGTTTCCAGGCGGCGGTGTTCGCTCGTTGTCGTCTCGCGACGGGCGTCCTCGTGC